AAAAGGTGAATAAGGCAAATATTGATAGGAGCAAAACAAAGATGAAAAAGGGAGAGTCACAGGATAAAAGTGTTTACATGGTTGAGAAACGGGATGAATAAAGTGGACACTGATGGGGTTAAAATCAAGTTTTTTTAAACCAAGGTTTTAATATAGCACTACCAAAGGTTGGGAGGACCAAAGGGTCTCCCTGCTGGTCCCCTAACATTAAATGCTCCTAACAAGTCTAGTCTATTTATCCCAGTTTGGAAAATTTTAAATGCATAAAGGCCGAGTTAACAATGAGAAATGTGAACAACAATTGCTCATGCTTGTGGCAGCGGTTAGACATATTAATCAAGTTAAAGACTGACAAAAAGGGCCAGAAGCCCTTGGCTCAACCTCTCACTGGAAGTCCAAAGCCTTCTGCACAAGAGTGAGTAAAATGATCAGAGGGTGGAAAAGAGGTTTCCAGGACTCACTGACATAGGAGCCTCATATGCTGTGGTGCCAAAATCCATTGGTGAAGCCCAGACACGAGCTACAATTCGATTGAGAGAACATATGTCACACAGGGGAACTCGTTCCCTAGCAAGTATTGTTAAAACCCAAGTCCATTGATGAAGTCTTAATGGGAGCTACAGTTAAGAATATAAGGGTTAATGGGGGCGGCAGTGGCGCAAGCTGCGGTGGTGCTAAGTTCCCTGCACGGGGGCACGGAGGCCTCAGATCCCAGGTTGTATCCCTGCTTGACCCCGGGGGATCTGAGGCGGCGGCACTTCCCCCACCCCCCACTCAACGCCCACCAGCAGAGAAGCAGAGACTTGAGGGACTGTTTCAGGCGGTATAAACAAAGCCCGAGGACTGGGACCTGGAAACGAGGCAGGGCAGTCAGGCAAAGAACTCTGCCCACCTTGGCTACGTCCTAAGCACAGGGAGATCGTTTCCAAAGGAGTGATTTGCAATGCTTGGTTGAGAAGGGACTGGAGTAACGAAATTTTTCTCCCCGTAACCACCAAGGCAGGGCCTCAGGGAGCAGCCAGGGGACACAGTGAAGAAAAGACCTGCCTACACCAAACCACGCCCATCCCCGCCAGAGACCTGTTTTGTTGTTTTTGTTGTTTTTACCTGAGCCTTGGTTTGCGTGTTTATTGGTTTTGTCTGTGCATGTGTGTACCTTTCTTCCCTCTGTGGTTGTCTGTTTTCTTTTTCCAGAGCTACCTCAAGAAACAAGCCAAATTACAGAAGATATGAACAGACACTTCTCCAAAGAGGACATCCAGATGGCCAACAGACACATGAAACGATGCTCAGCATCCCTCCTCATCAGGGAAATACAAATCAAAACCACACTGAGATACCACCTCACGCCAGTCAGAGTGGCTAAAATGAGCAAATCAGATAACTCTAGATGCTGACGAGGATGTGGAGAAATGGGCACCCTCCTACACTGTTGGTGGGAATGGAAACTGGTGCAGCCCCTCTGGAAAACAGAGTGGCAGTTCCTCAAAAAATTAACACTAGAACTCCCCTATGACCCAGCAATAGCACTGCTAGGAATTTACCCAAAGACACAAAGAAATGGAAAAACATTCCATGCCCATGGATTGGAAGAATAAATATAGTTAAAATGGCATTACTACCCAAAGCAATCTACACATTCAATGCAATCCCAATCAAAATTGCACCAGCATACTTCTCAAAGCTAGAGCAAACTATCCTAAAATTTGTATGGAACCACAAAAGACCCCGAATAGCCAAAGTAATATTGAAGATGAAAACCAAAACGGGAGGTATCACCATCCCAGACTTTAGCCTCTACTACAAAGCTGTCATCATCAAGACAGTATGGTATTGGCACAAAAACAGACACATAGACCAATGGAATAGAATAGAGAACTCAGAATTGGACCCAAAAGTATACAGCCAAATAATCTTTGACAAAACAGGAAAGAGTATCCAGTGGAAAAAAGACAGCCTCTTTAACAGATGGTGCTGGGACAACTGGACAGCAACATGCAGAAGAATGAAACTAGATCATTTTCTCACACCATGCACAAAAATAAACTCAAAATGGATAAAGGGCCTGAATGTAAGACAGGAAACTATCAAAATCCTAGATGAGAAAGCAGGAAACCACCTCCTTGACCTCCACTGCAGCAATTTCTTACTTGACACACCCCAAAAGCAAGGAAATCAAGAACAAAAATAAACTATTGGGACCTCATCAAGATTAAAAGCTTCTGCACGGCAAAGGAAAAAATCCATAAAACTGATAGGCAACCGATAGAATGGGTAAAGAAAATTGCAAATGAGGGGCGCCTGGGTGGCTTAGTCGGTTAAGCGTCCGACTTTCACTTAGGTCATGATCTCGCGGTTCGTGGGTTCGAGCCCCGCGTCGGGCTCTGTGCTGACTGCCAGCTCAGAGCCTGGAGCCTGTTTCAGTCTGTGACTCCCTCTCTCTCTGACCCTCCCCTGCTCACGCTGTCTCTCTCTCTCTCTCCTAGAAATAAATAAAAAAAAAAAAAAAAAGAAAGAAAATTGCAAATGACATATCAGATAAAGGGCTAGTATCCAAAATCTATAAGGAACTCCCTAACTCTACACCGGAAAAACAAACAATCCAGGGACAGGGGTGACTAGAGGCCAGCCATCAGCAGCCCCACTGAAGGATAATGTAGATAGTAACAGCTAGAACTTTAGTGTAGTGGTAGAGGTCTATCCATTAGTGCATTAAAACCTCCCTCAGTAGTGTCTCTGTTTCCTGTGCTTAATCCCCTCTGTTACACTGAGTTTCTGAAGAATATGAAGTCTGTAAATGTTAGTCTGGCTTGCCTGAATTTAGGTAACCATTTCATAGTGCATATAAATACTGAATTAATACACTGTACACCTGAAACTAATATAACATTATGTGTCAATTATACTTCAATTAAAAAAAAAGGGATGGGCACCTGGGTAACTCAGCTGGAGTTGAGCAACTGACTTTTTTTTTTATTTTTTAAAAAAATTTTTTAACATTTTATTTATTTCTGAGAGAGAGAGAGAGAGCGAGCGAGCATGAACAGGCAAGGGTCAGAGAGAGAGAGGGAGACACAGAATCCAAAAGAGGCTCCAGGCTCTGAGCTGTCAGCACAGAGCCCAACACAGAGCTCAAACCCATGAACCATGAGATCATGACCTGAGCCGAAATCAGATGCTTAACCAACTTAGCCACCAAAGCACCCCGAGCAACTGACTCTTGATTTTAGCTCAGGTCATGATTCCAGGGTCGTGGGATCCAGGCCTTCGCCAGCCTCGGTGCTGAGTGTGGAACCTGCTTAAGATTCTCTGTCTCACTTACTCTGCCTCTCTCCCCTGCTTGTGCTCTCTTGCTCAGGCACTGCGTACTAAGATAAAAAGGCATGTTCCACAGTTAGACCATGAGAGCTGATGACCCCTGGTGGCTAGAAGTGGTAGTCACAACAACCCTTCCAGATGGATGATGGAGAAACCTGTCAGGGTTGAAGAAATGAGCCAGAAAGTTGGGACACAGAGGGATTCCCTTATGTCAGGGTTGTTCCATTAATAAATAGGCATTATCACTGCCATGTTTCACATAAGAAAACTGAGATTCAGAGGCTGTGACATTAGATCTTCAGATTTGTAGTCCATTACATTTTTTAGTACACTATCCTACAAGTCCCTGAGATAAATACCTTAGATGTAGTGGAGCATTTTCCCTGTTCTCACCCTTCAATGGTAAGGGAAGGATATACTGCTAGAAGATGATATAGATGTTTAAAGGCAGGTTTCTGCAGGCTTTGGGGAGAGAGCTGGGACCTACACACATTGTGAACGTCCTGCAAAAGTAAAGAGAAACTTGCAAAATTCGAAAAAAAAAAAATCCAACAATCTTTCCCTTTGTGACACTTGGTCAAAACTGTTGGTGCATACTGCACTCTATAAATGAAGACAGGTTAACGTCTTAACTGTTGGACAGCTTTCTAATTGGCTTGGGATTAGGCAATGGAAAAGGCTTTCCTGACTGCCTAATATCTTCTCTGGGAGAAACAATATTCTGTTGGAGTTTGAGGAGTCTTTGTGGGTACATAAGAATCCTTGTTCCTCAGGATACCTGCGTGGCTCAGTCAGCTAAGTGTCCGACTTCGGCTCAGACCATGATCTCATGGTTCATGAGTTCAAGCCCTGTGTCGGGCTCTGTGCTAACAGCTTAGAGCCTGGAGCCTGCTTCAGATTCTGTGTCTCCCTCTCTCTCTCTGCCCCTCCCCTCCCCCCGTGTGCGTTCTCTCTCTTTCTCTCTCTCCCCCACTCTTTCTCTCAAAAATAAACATTAAAAAATTAAAAGAATGCTTGTTACTCAATGAATCAATGAATAAAGAATTTTGAACGAAACATTTGAATTTCTTCTTAAAAGAATTCATAAACAGTTGTTTTTAGCTTAGATTGTTGTCAGGAAATTTCAGAAATTCAGGCCACAGAAACTCTGATATAGCTTTCCATATGAAAGAGAATTGCCTCTATCACACTCTTGACAAGTAACCATTCATCAGCTGTATGAACAGCCGTAGTAACAATTAGAGGCTTCACTCCCTTGAAATACAGCCTATTGTACTTTTAGGTCTGTTACAAATATAAACCCATGCACAAATTCTATGCAGGTTGAGCATAGGTAGTCCAGTGAGTAAATGACTATGGTCAAGGCTGAAGGTGTAATCAAACACCCTGGGAACCAAAAATTGTTCATTTTATATAGTTTTCCTCAGAAACAGTGAAAAGTTAGATGGGGGAGATGAATAGAAAGAAGAATTTCTACACAGATTCACTTTTATTCTGCTTTCTCTTGGAAAGTCATATAAAAGCACATTTCTCCATCCTTGGAGCTCAGCTGCTACTAGCATTTTATTTCTGTATTAGTCAGGGTTAGTCAGAGTAACAATCAATAGAATATATATATTTGTATGTTACGTAGGTAGGTAGGTATTGAGGTATGTGCTTATTGATTATATGAATTGTCTTACCAGGTTATGGAAGTCAAGAAATCCCAAGATCTGCTGTCTGCAAGTGGGAGAACCAGGAAAGCTGGCAGCGTAATTTCGTCAGAGTCCAGAGATCTGAGAATCAAGGGGTTGATGGTGTAAGTCCCAGTCTGGGTCTGAAAGTTGGAGAACCAGAAGCATCAATGTCTGAGGGCAGGAGGAGATGGATGTTTAAGCTTAAGCAGAGAGGATGAATTTACTCTTTGTCTACCTTTCCTTCTATTCAGGCCCTCAGTGGATTGGGTGATAACACCCTGTAATGGTGAGGGCCATCTACCTTTGTTATTCAGTCTATTGATTCAAATGCCAAATTCTTCCAGAGACACCCTCACAGACATACTCAAAATAATGTTTTACCAGGTATCTAGATATCCCCTTAGCCAAGTCCAGTTGACACATAAAATAAATGATCCAAATTTCTATGGAGACTATTTACTATTTTGAAAGTCCATGAGATAAGGTTCACGTACTTACATGATGGTGGCCTTATATGTATGAAGAGAAAATTGGGAACAGCTCCTAGGAGTCAGATTGCTCCCACAAATAGACTAACAAATGAATTTAATTTATTAGAATGAAATGGATAATGCCTTTATAAAATAGTCTTTCATGGTAAGTTTGAAAAAAAGACATTCTAAAGGCCAGTGTCTAAAGGCTCATCTGCTTGTCTCAATCTATTCTGTTCCTGCCTAAGGTTAAGACTCATTATCTTTAACAGTAAACTATGAAAGAAAAATAAAGACTCATTATCCCTATGTTTATGGCCTTGATGATGATGATGGTTTCACAGGTATATACCTAATGCCAAGCTCACTGAATTATATGCAATAAATGTGTACCACTTTTTACATGGCAAAAAAAGACTTCATTATCTCTAATTTGGATCATTAACATAGTCTTCTTTATCCTTGGTTTGTTTTTGTTTTTTTCTGGGGTTTTGTTTTTTTGTTTTTTTGGTTTTTTTTTTTTTTTGCTTTCACTAGGATGTGTATAGGTGTGGATTTCTATTTATTTATCCTGCTTAGGATTCAAGGGGCTTCTAGAATCCTTGGAGTACTGCCTTTCATCTCCTCTGGAAAATTTTTCGCCGTCACCTTCCCCATTTCTCTTTCTTGTCCTTCTGAGACTCAAATGTACAGTAGACCTTCTCACTCTATTCATTGTGTCTCTTATCACACATTTTCTTTTTTTTTCCCTATAATTTGTTTCACTAGGAGGAATTCTGGATAATTTCTTCTTATCTACCTTTCAATGTAATAATTCTCTCTTAAGGAAGTGGCAGGGTATAAAGTGCTAAATGGGAAAAATCTACAGCCAGAATACTCTCTCTGGCCTGGCTATCATTCAGGAAAGAGAGATAAAGAGTTTCCCAAACAAAAATTAAAGCAGTTCATGACCACTAACCCAGCCCTGCAAGAAATATTAAAAGGGACACTTTGAGTGGAAAGGAGGGAGCAAAAGTGACAGTATAAAGGTATGAAACAAAAAAGCAGTAAAAATGAGTATTTATATAAAAAAAATCGCTAAAGGTACTCACAAAAGGATATAAAATATAATAACATATACCTAACAGGTGGGGACAAGAAAAGAATGAATTCAAAATTACATGACCATCAAGTTAACATAGGCTGCTATATGCAGAAGAGGTTATATAGAATCCTAATGTTAACCATACATCAGAAACCACTAATAAATATGCAAAGAACAAAGAGAAAGAAATCCAAATATATCACTAAGGAAATCAACAAGACATGAAAGAGAAAAAGAAAGTATCCAAGAAAATCTTCAGAAACAACCACCAAATAAATATAAAATGGCAATAAATGTACATCTATCAATAGTTACTTTTAACATAAATGGACTAAACCCTCCAACCAAAATACACATGGTAACAAAATGGATAAAAAAACAAGACCCATCTATATGCTCCTTACAAGAGACTCATTTCAGATCTAAAGACACCTGCAGGTTGAAAGTGAAGGGATGGAGAAACATCTATCATCCAAACGGATATCAAAAGAAAGCTGGAGTAGCAATACTTACATCAGACAAAAAGACTTTTTTTTATGTTTTATTTATTTCTGAGACAGAGAGAGACAGTATGAGCTGGGGAGGATCAGAGAGAGAGGAAGATACAGAATCTGAAACAGGCTCCAGGCTCTGAGCTAGCTGTCAGCACAGAGCCAGATGCGGTGCTCAAACCCACGAACTGTGAGATCATGACCTGAGCCTAAGTTGGACGCTTAACCGACTGAGCCACCCAGGCATCCCCAGACAAAAAGATTTTAAAGAAAGATTGTAACAAGAGACAAAGAAGGGCACTTATAATCATAAAGGGTACAATCCAACAAGAAAATATAACAATTCTAGATATTCATGCACCCAACCTAGGAGCACCCAAATACATAAAATAGTAACAAACATAAAGGAGTTAATCAATAATAATACAATAATTGTAGGGGATTTTAACAACCTACTTACAGCAATGGACAGATCATTCAAACTGGTCTTGAATGACACACTGGAACAGATGGACTTAACAGATGTATTTAGACTATTCCATCCTAAAACAGTGGAGTATATACTCTTTTAAAGTACACATAAAACATTCTCTAGAATAGATCTCTTATTAGGCCACAAAACAAGCTTCAACAAACTTAGGAAGATCAAAGCCATACCATGCAGTTTTTCGACCACAACACTATGAAACTAGAAATCAACCACAAGAAAAAATCTGGAAAACCACAAATACATAGAGGTTAAAAATAATATGCTACTAAATAATGAATAGGTCAGTCAGGAAATCAACAGATAAATTAAAAAGTACATGGAAACAAATAAAAATGAAAACACAAAGGTCCAAAACCTTCGGGATGGAACAAAAGTAACCCAAAGAGGAAAGGATATAGTAATACAGGCCTATTTCAAGAAGCAAAAAAAAATCTAAACAACCTAGTAACCTTTCAACTAAAAAGACAGAAAAAGAAAAAAATAAAAAAACCTAAAACCAGCAGAAGGAAAAGAATAATAAAAATTAGAGCAAAAATAAATGATATAGAAAGTAAAAAAAAAAAAAAAAAAAAAAAAAAACTAGGAAAGATCAATGAAACCAGGAGCTCTTTGAAAAAAAATCAATTAAATTGAGGGGTACCTGGGTGACTCAGTAGGTTAAGCAGCCAATTCTCGAACTCAGCTGAGGTCATCATCTCACAGTTCATGAGATCAAGTCCTGCGTTGGGCTCTGCACTGAACAGTGCGCAGCCTGCTTGGGACTGTCTCTCTCTGCCCGTCCTGCTCTCTCTCTCTCTCTCTCTCTCTCAACATAAATAAATACAATTTTTTTAAAAAAAATCAATAAAATTGATAAACCTCTAGCAATATTTACCAAGAAAAAAAGAGAAAGGATTCAAATAAATAAAATCACAAAGGAGAAAGGAGAAATAACAACCACAGAAGTAAAAATAATTATAAGAGAATATTATGAAAAACTATATGCCAACAAATTACACAACCTAGAAGACATGGAAAAATTCCTAGAAATAAACTACCAAAACTGAAACAGGAATAGAAAATTAGAACCGATCAATTAGCAGCAATGAAACTGAATCAGTAATCAAAAAACACCCAACAAACAAAAGTCCAGAACCAGATGGTTTCACAGGCGAATTCTACCAAACATTTAAAGAAGAGTTAATACTGATTCTTCTCAAACTATTCCAAATAAAAAAAGGAAAGAAGGAAGGAAAACTTCCAAACTCATTCTATAGGCCAGCATCACCCTGATACCAAAACCAGATAAAGACACCACTAACAAAGAACTACAGGCCAATATCCCTGATGAACATAGATGCAAGAATCCTCAAGAAAGTACTGGCAAGCCAAATCCAACAATACATTAAAAAATCACTTGTCCCAATCAAGTGTGATTTATTCCTGGATTGCAAGGGCAGTTAATATTGGCAAATCAATGTGATACATGCCATCAATAAGAGAGAGCGTAAGAACCATACGATCATTTCAACACAGAGAAAGCATTTGACAAATACAACATCCGTTCGTGATAAAAACTCTCTGCAGATAGGTCTAGAGAGAATATACCTCAACATAATAAAGGCTGTATGTGAAAAACCCACAGCTAATATCATCCTAAATAGGGAAAAACTGAGAGCTTTTCCTCTATAGTCAGGAACAAGACAAGGATGTCCACTCTCATCATGTTATTTAATATAGTACTAGAAGTCCTAGCCACAGCAATCAGACAACAAAAAGAAATTAAAAGCATCCAAATTGGCAAGGAAGAAGTAAAACTTTCACTATTTACAGGTGACATGATACTATATATAGAAAACCTGAAAGAATGCCAAAAAACTGATAGAATTGATAAACAAACTCAGTAAATTAACAGGATGCAAAATCAGTTTACAGAAATCTGTTGCATTCCTATACACCAAAAATGAAGCTGCAGAAAAATAAATTAAGAAAACATTCCCATTTACAATTGTACCAAAAATAGTAAGATACCTAGGAATAAACCTAACCAAAGAGGTGAAAGACCTGTACTCTTTTAAACTTTTAAAAACAGTGATGAGGGGCACCTGGGTGGCTCAGTCGGTTGAGCGCCCAACTTCGGCTCAGGGCATGATCTCACGGTTCGTGGGTTCGAGCCCCACATCAGGCTCTGTGCTGACTGCCAGCTCAGAGCCTGGAGCCTGTTTTGGATTCTGTATCTCCCTCTCTCTCTGACCCTCCCCTGCTCACGCTCACGCTCCCACTGTCTCTCTCTCAGACAAAAATAAAACATTAAAAAAAAAAAAACAGTGATGAAAAAAATTGAAGAGGACACAAAGAAATGGAAAGATATTCCATGTTTACGGATTTGAAGAATAAATACTGTAAAAATGTCTATACTACCCAAATAACCAAGACATTTAATGCAATTCCTATCAAGAAATCAACAGCATTTTTCACAGAAGTAGAACAAACAATTTTCTTTTAATGTTTTATTTATTTCTGAGAGAGAGAGCCAGCATGAGCAGGGGAGGGTCAGAGAGAGAAGGAGATACAGAATCTGAAGCAGGCTCCAGGCTCTGAGCTGGCTGTCAGCACAGAGCCTGAC